GGGCACATGGGTGCCGGTGTGTGTTACGGCACATGGGTGCTGGTGTGTGTTATGGCATACAGGTGCTGGTGCCCGGCACATGGGATACACGGGGAGAATCCCGGCTCAGCCCCTGGGATCAGCCTGCACAACATGTGCACGCCTGTGACCACATGTGTACATGTTAGTGCACGCTCAGGCACACGTGTGCACACACGCTCTGGTGCATGCTCGTGCACAGCCATGTGTGCCCATGCGCGCAGCAGTGCACTCCTGTGTGTACCGGTGCGCTCCCATGCACACGTGTGAGCACACACGAGCACTCCCGGTGCACACACACTTGTGCACACTCGTGTGAGCTCCTGTCACACCCCTCTCACCTTCCACTAGAGCAGGTTGCTCCAAGCCCCTGTATCCAACCTGGCCTTGAACACTGCCAGGGATGGGGCAGCCACAGCTTCTCCGTTCAACCCATCCCAGCGTCTTACACACCTGAAACCCCACTGGGATGTGCTGCTGGGATCAGGTTTTCCTGGTCCCTCTGCAGCAAGGCAGGAGCTGAGTAGAACCCCCCAGATGCCACTGCAGCACTTCCCACCCCGTGTCCCCTTCTGGTCCCGTGTCCCCTTCTGGTCCCGTGTCCCCTTCTGGTCCCGTGTCATTCCTCCAGGACAAGAGGAGAGGGAGCAAGGAGCTGGTGTTGATTCCGGCTGGGCTCTGAGGTCCCTTCCAGCCCTTATCCTGGAGGAAGGTCACAAGAGATGGGTTTAGTGATGGGTTTGCACTGGGAGGTCCCTGGTTGCACTGGGAGGTCCCTGGTTGCACTGGGAGGTCCCTGGTGGTGACCACAGACCCTTGGGGACGTGTCCTGCCCGGCTCAGTCCCCTCCACACGCTCCAGGTCACAAGTCACCTTTATTGCAATAAATAACTGGGCAAACCCACACAACGTGGTGGCTTCTCCATGTGGGTGGTGGCACATCCCGTCCCTGCCTCACCCTCCCCAGCCCGGGATCCCAGCAGCTCCTATGGAAGAGATGCCACATCCTTCCCCCATCTCCTGCATGCTCTGAAAGCTGCTTTCCCCTCCTCAGGAAGCTCCATCACCTTCTCTAGTGCCTCAAGAACCCCAAGACCCTCCACCGCTGTGTCCCCTGCTCCACCTCCACCCCACCACTGTGCTGGGGGCTCTGTGCGTGTCCAGGCAGGGCTCTGCCCCTGCCCACCCCCTGCCCGTCCTCCCCCGGGGGAGGGTGCTCTCACACCCAGCTGTGGTGCCTACAGGAAGTAGGTGATGTTCTCGGGGCTGAGGGGAGCCTGGATGTCCAGCTTGCGGGCTCTGCTGTCCTTCTCCACGATCTCCAGGCGCAGGGTGGGGACCTTGCCTGGTTCTGCTCCTGGGGATGAGCTCTCCTTGGTCTTGAGGAGCTGCTTGTCCGAGTCCTCCACCACGATCCTGAGGGTGCAGCCCTGGGGCAGCAGGTCCTGCTCGTAGGCAGCAGCCAGTTGGTTCACCACGCGCCGCTCGACCTGCAGAGAACCAGGTCCCACCACAACACCCCCTGTCAGAAGCTCCCAGTGGAGGTGGGAGCTCTTCTTCCCACCCTCGGGCATCACAGGATCCCAGAATCATGGAACGCGTTGGGTTGGGATGGAGCTTAAAGGTCATCCCGCTCCATGGGCAGGGACCCCTTCCACTAGAGCAGGTTGCTCCAAGCCCCTGTGTCCAACCTGGCCTTGAACACTGCCAGGGATGGGGCAGCCACAGCTTCTCTGGACATCCCGGCCACCCACCCTCCAGCCTCTCCTCTCCAGGCTGGGGTGATGCCACCGAGCTCCATCCCTGCCTTCACCTCGTGTTTGATGGAGCGGGCTCCATAGTGCAGGTTGTAGCCATCAGCCAACACGTCCATGACCTCCCTGTCCCAGAGCAGGGTGATGTTGTGCCTTGCCTTGGCCTGTTGGGTGAGGAAGAGGAGGAAGAGTCACTGGTGCCTCCAGGGCTTTGCTCCTGCATCCTCTGAGAAGTCAGCTCAATGCCAGGTATGGTTCTTACCTTCCTGGCCCAGAAGTTCAGCTCCTTGTTGACGAGTTGGATGAGCTCCGAGTGGCAGAAGGGCAGAAAATAGACAATCTCATTGATCCTGCCCAGGAACTCGTCACGTTTGAAGTGAGCCTGCAGGGACCAGGGCAGGGAGGTCAGTGGGACAGGGCTGGTGGCCCCAAGAGGGACAGGGAAGATGGGGTCATAGAGTCATGGAATGGTTTAGGATGAAGGGACCTTAAAGCTCATCCAGTCCCAACCCATTGCCATGGCTGGACAGGGCTTGGAGCAACCTGCCCTAGTGGAAGGTGTCCCTGCCCGGGGCAGGGGTTGGAGCTGGAGGAGCTTTAAGGTCTCTTTATCCCAGACCATTCCACGATTCTGTGATTGCACCGAATGACTTGGAAACCCAAGCTCAGGACTCCTCAAGAACCCATCCATACCTTCAGGATGGGGCGAATGACCTTTTCCTTGAACTGTTTGGAGATGGTGATCTTGTCAGTCATCTGGACATCCTCTGAAAGACAGGAGGACACAGGGTGCTGGGGGTGAGGTGGGACATGGGCTCCTTCCCATCTCCCAGCTCCTGGAGGTGGGTGAGTGAAGCAGCATGACCCAGAGATGGAGGTGGGATCCAAATGGGACTTGGGAACAGACCTGGAGCCTCCACACATGCCACCAATGGGGTGTCCCTGCGCTTGACACCCTGGTGCAGGTCTGGGTGCCCCACGGCTGCCCCTGCACATGTTGGGTGCCCGAGGACAGCACCTACATGATGCGTTTCACTTGCACAGTGAAAGGGCTCCAGCTCTGCCTCTGCTCTCTGCCCTCCACCCTGGAGACCTTGGAGCTTCTCCAGGGCCTAAAGGGGCTCCAGGAAACCTGGAGAGGGGCTTTGGACAAGGGATGCAGGGACAGGACAAGGGGAATGGCTTGAACCTGCCAGAGGGGAGACTGAGATGAGCTCTGAGGCAGAAGCTCTTCCCTGGGAGGGTGCTGAGGCGCTGGCACAGGGTGCCCAGAGAAGCTGTGGCTGCCCCAGCCCTGGCAGTGTTCAAGGCCAGGTTGGACACAGGGGCTTGGAGCAACCTGCTCTAGTGGAAGGTGTCCCTGCCCGGGGCAGGGGCTGGAGCTGGAGGAGCTTTCAGGTCCTTTCCAGCCCAGACAATTCTATCTGCTGGCTGTGCACCTCTCGCCAGAGTCCACTTCCCTCGGCTGACTGCAGATGGAGCCAGGGTCTGGCTGGTCCCGAATCCCAGCTCTGAACCACAGCCACCAGCTCCAGAGCACTTTTCCCTTCCTGCCACCCAAACCCTCTCTCCTCTCCCTGTTTTCCCCACCTCACCTCTCCCTACACCCTCACGTACCAAACTCCATGTTCTTTTTAACACAAGGATGCTCACGGGAAGATCCCTGCATCCCAGGTGCTCTGGATGGGATCCTGGCATACAGGGTGCTGGAGAAAGACCCACACCGGGTGCTGGGTGCCCTTCCCACCTTTGCAGCCTTGATGAGCACCGTTGCACCCCCAGCAGCAGCAGAAAGGGGCTCTCAGGCTCCATCAGACCCACGCTGGTGCCAGCACACAACCAAGAGGTGACAGGAGCACCTCAGGGTGCGTGTGTGCAGCCGGGGGGGGCGGGTTGGACACTGCAGTCCACTGAAACAGAGCAGGGGGGCTGTGGTTACAGGGATTTATCCCATTTCCCTTTTCTGCTAATAGACACAAAGGGGGGTTCAATAAGCAATGGGAATCTGGCACAGCATTCCCAGTGAGGAGAGCTGGAGGAGGCAGAGGAGACGGAGCTGCTGCAAGTATCCAGGTTTTCCACCCACAACACCCCCTGGCA